ACAGTTCATAGCCAGCGTGGCTCAGTGATTGAGCGTGGACCTAGGAACCAGGAGGTCACGGTTCAGCTCCCCGCCCGGGTTGCAGGCTCGATCCGCAGTGTGGGGTGTGCAGGAGGCAGCCCATCAATGATTCTCTCTCAAAAAGAATCTCTCTCTCCCTCTCCCTTCCTCTCAGAAAGATGGTTATCTGCCTTTAGCAAGACACACAAAGATGTGATAGGCTGGGCTCAGCTGTCACATTGGGTTTCATCAGCTTTGCAAGGCTTTCAGGCTCATCGGGGTCAGAGTGCCCACCGTCTCCTCAGCCACTGCAGAGGGTGAGAACAGCTCTTCCTCCCCAGCCTGCAGGCCTGCAGCTCGGTGTCCTGGTCCGGCCCATCCGCTCCCTGTCAGCTCTACACCCGAAGCCCTGCCAAGTCCTTAGAAAGACGCCAAAAAGTGCTCCGAAAATGAACAATTAATTTTGGCTGTCAAAACAGATACTAAGAGGAGCCCAGTTAGAGTTCAAGCATTTTTTCTCTACCAGCAAACCCAAGGCTCTGTCAGCCATAAGAGATGGAGCAGAATCCCTCGGGATGTTTACGAGACAGTATGACACGGTGGTTCAGACCGCGGTGGGCTTAGCTTGGGTAGATGCCAACTTGGCCTTTTCTCTGGCTGTATCCACCGGCATTTCATTTACCCTCTCTGAGCCTCGGTTTTCTGATCTGTACATTGGGGGTTTTCTTGTCGATAAATCTCTTTTTTTTTTTTTAATATATTTTATTGATTTTTTACAGAGAGGAAGGGAGAGGGATAGAGAGTTAGAAACATCGATGAGAGAGAAACATTGATCAGCTGCCTCCTTACACACCTCCTACTGGGGATGTGCCCACAACCCAGGTACATGCCCTTGACCGGAATCGAACCTGGGACCTTTCAGTCCGCAGGCCAATGCTCTATCCACTGAGCCAAACCGGTTTCCGGCGTTGATAAATCTCTTAATTGCAAGTCGGGGAGGGGCAGGGTGCATGAAAAGCACTTAGCATTACTCCTGTCATATTGTCACAAGTCAGTAAGCGGTGCTGTTTTTGTAGTTATTACTGTTGGCGGTGACATTACCAAGCAAAACCTCCTGCTACACCTGAAAAGCAGTGGTTCAATCTGCGTGCTCCCTCTACCTGAATGATCAGTGCTTCGCCCAGAATTTCAGAAAGTTTTCTGAAGATCAGTTCCTTTGGGGAAACCTCACTGGTAAGTAACAATTTATTGATTCAGTAAAAACGTTCCACGTGAATGGAAAGCCTCAAAGAAAAGAGAAATCATTTCCGCTGTTGTTCTCCCTTCCTCCCCTGTCCCCCCCCCGCCCCCCCCCGCCCCCCCGCGTGCCGTGAGGCTGTAGCATAAATGGCACATAAATAAGCAAAATGGAATTTGAAAAGCAAGAAGCAGGGTATTCTGAAAAATTAAGTTTTTTCAGTAAATCTTTATGAAAATGCATCTGTGTCACACCATAAAAATAATAACCCAGGCAGTGCCCTCGGCGCTCCCGGCTCTGTCTCCTGTTCCATGTGTTTGGACGGCACCGCCCAGGGCCGCCCCCGCTTCCAGCCCCCGCCTCCCTCCTGGTCCATCCGGTCTCCACCTTCAGACCCACCTGCGGCCCGGCCCCCGCACGGGTTTCCCACCTTCACCCCTGATGCCGGCAACCCTGAGCCCCACCTTCCCCAGAGTCACCCCCCGAGGTGGAGGCTGCGCCCCCCGCCCGCCCGGCCTCTGCGGCCCCACACCCCCCGCTCCCGGGGCTCCTGTCCCCCCGCGACGGGGCGGCTCCGAGGGCGCGGGCCCCACACCCACCGCTCCCGGGGCTCCTGTCCCCCCGCGACGGGGCGGCTCCGAGGGCGCGGGCCCCACACCCACCGCTCCCGGGGCTCCTGTCCCCCCGCGACGGGGCGGCTCCGAGGGCGCGGGCCCCACACCCACCGCTCCCGGGGCTCCTGTCCCCCCGCGACGGGGCGGCTCCGAGGGCGCGGGCCCCACACCCACCGCTCCCGGGGCTCCTGTCCCCCGCGACGGGGCGGCTCCGAGGGCGCGGGCCCCACACCACCGCTCCTGGGGCTCCTGTCCCCCGCGATGGGGCGGCTCCGAGGGCGCGGGCCCCACACCCACCGCTCCCGGGGCTCCTTCCCCCCGCGACGGGGCGGCTCCGAGGGCGCGGGCCCCACACCCACCGCTCCCGGGGCTCCTGTCCCCCCGCGACGGGGCGGCTCCGAGGGCGCGGGCCCCACACCCACCGCTCCCGGGGCTCCTGTCCCCCGCGACGGGGCGGCTCCGAGGGCGCGGCCCTTCCCGAGGCGGCGGAGCAGCTGAGGGCGCTGAGCATCTTCCGGAGGCGCCTCCAGCGCGGGCCCTTCTCCCCCAGGACGTGCGGGGCCTCCCCGGGTGAGGGGGAGCTCAGGGCCTGGCCGCCCCCGGCCTGGGAGGGGAGCCTGGCCCCGGCCCTTGGGGAGCCCCCGGCCCTGGTTCTGCCCCCCAGGCCCTCGGCTCCGTGACTTCCTGCAGAGCCACTTCCGGGCCGGAGGGAGGCTCATCAAGAAGAGGGGCGACACCTGGCCCCCCTCCGCAGGCTGCGCCCCGGCTGGGCTGGGGAGCATCTCTCCAAAGGCTTGCCCTCCAGCAGGACCAGGAGCCCGTGGAGCCCGGAGGCCTGTGAGGGTCCCTCTGCCCCCCCCTGGGGTCTGGCTTTAACCTGAGCCTCTTCCCGAAACTACTGGCCATTCTTGTAACCGCCCTGAAGCCCTCTCCCATGCACTGGGCCAAATGAAACAATAAAGCTTCTTATTACAAAAGTAAGTAAATAAATAATAATAATAATAACCCAGCCTACTGGTTTTCGTCTTCCAGCCCCGGACGAGCACTAGCTCATTATTCCTTCCACGCTGTTCAGTGGGTAGGAAACCAACTGCCTCTGCTCTTTGGGGCCCATAATGAACATTCTACCAGCACCTCCCAGGACATGAGCTTTCTCCCCTCTCAGGGCCACAGGTTTCCAGAAAGCTCAAGAAAGCAAGCTCTAAAGCACATTGTATTATAATTGAGAAAAGTAGGCACAGTTTTCTGGGTTGTTTTTTTTAAAAAACTCACACTGGTTCCTCTTCCCTTTTCTATCCCCAATGATGCATTTCCGTAGTACTAGGGAGAATTTATGCCTACACTCTCTCTTTTTTAAAAAATATATATTTTATTGATTTCAGAGAGGAAGGGAGAGGGAGCGAGAGCTAGAAACACCAATGATGGGAGAGAATCATTGATCAGCTGCTTCCTGCACAGCCCCACACTGGGGATCGAGCCCACCACCAGGCATATGCCCTGACCGGGAATTGGACCTTGACCTCCTGGTTCACAGGTCTATGCTCAACCACTGAGCCATGCTGGCCAGGCCCATTTTTAATTTTTGAGGAAACTCCATACTGTTTTCCACAGAGGCTGCACCAATCTGCATTCCCACCAGCAGTGTACTAGGGTTCCCTTATCTCCACATCCGCACCAGCACTTGTTGTTTGTTGATTTATTAATGGTAGCCAGTCTGGCAGGGATAAGATGATATCTCATTGTAGTTTTAATTTGCATCTCTCTGATAATTAGTGACATCGAACATTTTTTCATATGTCTAGTGGCCATCTGTATGTCCTCTTTGGAGAAGTGTCTATTCAAGTCCTTTGCCCATTTTTTAATTGGCTCATTTGTCTTCCTGGTGATGAGTTTTATAAGTTCTCTATATATTTTGGAGATTAACTCTTTATTAAATGTATCATTGGCAAATATGTTCTCCCATACAGTTATGAAGTAGCAACGAAAATAATTTTATGGTTGGGTCACAACAAGAGGCACTGTACTTAAAGGGCCAGAAGGTTGAGAACCACTGCTCTAGAGAATCCACAGAAACTCATCAATGACCTAAACTATAGGTTTCTCAAGGCAAGCCTGAAGCTAAGAACCACTGAGTTTTGCAATCCATATCCAACTATCCCAGCAGCCACAACTCATATATTCCAAAACCACAGACCATGCTGGAGGCCACTGTGGTAGCTTCTCCTCCACCAGCTGGCTGCCCTGTCATCATGGCTCGTTGCAAATTTCTCACTCTAACATTTAGGGAGCAATTACAGAGCGGATAGATCATCCGTGGGCACAATTACTTAGAGGTTAACTCCTTGGGCTCTAGGGTGTGAAAGAACTAGGTTTAAATCTTAGCTACTACTTCCTGGCTGGATGACCATGGCCGGTTAATTAAACCCTGCACCTATTTCCTCATCTGTAAAGCGGGAATTATCATAACGCCTACCTCATTGGGTTTCTGGAGGGTTTAAATGAGATAATGCATGGGCAACAGTATTTCCATCATGTAGTAAGCACTTGGACTGACACTTGTACATGGGTTCCCTGATTTACAGCAAGTGAACAAAAAGAAAAACATTTCATATCTTCTGCTTCCAATGGGCCATAAGTGTAAATAGTAATTACCGACATCTTGGTTGGCCTAGGTAATTTACAGCTTTCTTTTTTCAACATTAAGAAACCAAGAAATAATCTAATTCCTATGTGGGCTCTTGAGATGCTGAAATGGGGCAAAGGCCTATAAACACTGTTCTAATAGCTGAGAGGGATTTGGTGAATGAAAATTTCATGAAAAGAGAGTTATGGAAGAGTTATGAAGCAAAAGTGTCATTCTCTAAATTATGGCTTTTAAAGTAACAGACGTTCAATCTCATACTGGAACAAAATACCACTGATAACTATTCCTTGACAAAGTAATTTTTCTAAGTAGATTCATATAAACCAGGCTGAGTTTTTAAGGGGGAAAATGAGTTTAATAATACAGTATTAGATTGAGTATCACCCAGGAAAAGTATACTGTAAAAAATGTTTTGAATATTAAATTGACCTCTGGTAAATTTAGTGTTGTAAATACTTGTATTATAGTGAGGTAGACAGTTAAAAAAAAAAAACTCTCCATTAGACAGACTTAAAAATTTTTGTAATAATATTTAAGAAAATGATAACATTAAGAAAGAATGAAATATCTGATTAATGTTTAACTTTGTACAACTCGAATATAAACTTTAAAAATATTAGAAATTATAACATTTGAGTGCATATAACGTTTTGTACATTAAGATGAATTGCATGCTGTCCATTTCCTCTTTGCATTTCCAGTCACCTTAAATAAACAAATATATACAGTCTTTAACAGAACAACAGTGCATCCAAAGCAAATGTGCATTTTAAATTATTTCTCCTGGCCAACTCTTTTCTTTTTTCTCCTCTCAGCATTTTATATTAGCATTTACTATCATTCTCACCCTTTCTTTGACATGTAGTTCTCTGAACCAAACAAGCAACAGGTTTAGATCCAGAGAGAGCAAAACCACTTTGGAAAAACAAAACGTTTGTAATGATTGGTGTGAGTTCCCTTGTTTAAACCATTTCATGGTCAACGACGACGAGGAGGAAGCAAACTTTTCAAAGGGCCTACTTATGGGCGATGTTTGAAAATAATACTGGTGCAGGCTGGGGAAAGTTCATGTTTTTGACGATCTGGGAGCCGGCATTTCAATTGCTCTGTGCTCCCTCCTGCTTCCTTCCTGGAGATGAATTCCACCCCCTGCCTCCTTCCTCACTGCCAGGTCTCCCATCTCCCACCCCAAGCTCAATGTAACACTTTGCTCTTTTCACAGTTTCTCATTACAAAGCTTTAAAAACATTGCCTAACTGGTAATTACAATCTGAAACAATTCTTTGGAGGGGAGCCCTGGGCTATTGCTGGCTGGTAATCTTTCAGGAATGTCACAGACGGAGAGGAAGAAACACAGATTTTAAAGAAATTTGGGAGACAGGGACTCGCATCCCCTTTCATCCTTCCCTTCTCTGCTCCCGGCCTGCCCCTTCTCCCCATCCTCCTCGGGGACCCACCACCTCACCCTTTTGTTTCTGGGGTCCTTTTCCCCCTGCACCTCTTCCCTTAGCTATATAGTTCCCCACCCCTACCCATTTTTTGTTTGTTTGTTTGTTTGTTTGTTTGTTTGTTTAACTGGGAAATTGCCTTCCCCTTAAAAGCAGATGTCTGAATTTTGGCAAATTCTGTTCAAAGAAATCAATTAGAGACTGACACCAGGAGGGGCTGTCCTAGGTCACCTCCAGCCAGGGCTCATGCACCTGAGTGTCAGGCGTCCCAGGCAGGCCTTGTGGTTTCTCACTATCCTCAGGGGGTTCCACTCGGACTCATTCCTGTCATTCCATCCATACCAGCTCCCCCTTCCCCACCAGGAAAGGCGACAGTAAAGGCAGTGTGGCCTGCGCCCCTGGAGTGAGATGCAGGTTGCCAGTTCCCTATGCCGGGGGAGGCCAGGGCAGAGCCGGGTGCCCCATGGAAAAGGCCCACCTGGGCCCTCCGCTCTCTGTGCTCCTCTAAGGCCTTCCTCGGGCTCCCCTATTCCTGGTGCCAATTCCTCTACTTTAACACGTTCTGTGTGGGAGGCCACGGGGCCTGGGCCAGGACGTGGCGGGAAGACACCCAATCCTTACCCAGGAAGAAAACAGTCAAACCAAGATGTGGTCAGAGGTGAGTCTCCCTCCCACACTGTTTCTCTTCTTAAATTATTCTCTCTCTCTCTCTCTCTCTCTCTCTCTCTCTCTCTCTCTCTCCAATCCACGAAGCAGTTGAGAAACAGGTACATGTCTCCCCTCCCCCACCTCCAACCAAACCCTGTGAGACACACCAGGAAATCCAAAGCCACGATCACAAAGATGAAAAAACAAAACCAAAAAACGACAGACAGACATCCATCGTCCTCGGCTTGTTTTTCCCGGGGCGGCCAGGCGGGGTGTGAAAACGCGCCTCTCCCTCTGGGCTGGCGGGTGAAAGGTCCCGGGAAGGCCGGGCTCCCTCCTCGCCCCTCCGGCTGCCGCATGTCCAGGCTGCTGCTCCCTCCCCTCTGCCTCCCAGGCCAGCTCCTCTCCCGACGCTGCGGTCAGGCCTCCCCAGCGGTCACGGGCCACGGCGGCGGGACCGGCGCCGCTACCTGCAGCCGCACGACTCCACCACCATGTCTTCGTACTGCTTGTAGACCACGTTGTTGCCCGCGTCGATGTACAGGATGCTGATGGGAGTCAATTTGGTGGGCACGCAGCAGCTGGGCGGCGTGGAGCCGGGGTCCATGGAGTTCATCAGCGTCTGGATGATGGCGTGGTTGGTGGGCTCCAGGTGCGAGCGCAGCGGGAAGTCGCACACGCCCTCGCAGTGGTAGGCCTCGTACTCCAGGGGCGCGATAATCCAGTCGTCCCAGCCCAGCTCTTTGAAGTTCACGTGCAGGGGCTTCTTGCTGCAGCGCAGCCTCGACTTCTTGCCGTGCCGCTTGCCGTGGCGGCTGGCGAAGGCCGTGCGCCGCCGCCGCCGGCCGGGCGAGGGCAGCCAAGGCCCGACGGCGTCCGCGTCCGGGGCGCCCGACGGCGGCGGCGGCGGCCACGACCCCGCGCCCGGGGGCCCCGCCGCCTCGGCCGAGTCCAGCTGCTGCTCGCGCATCTCGGCGAACAGGTTCTTGCGCTGCGATCGGGTGAACACGACGAGCAGGGCGCGCTCCTGGGGGGGCCGCCTCCTCCGGCCGAAGCCCAGACTCCGCAGGTCCGGGGGCGGCGGCCGCTGGGGCCCCGGCGGTGCGTGCGCCTCGGCCTCCCCGGCGGCGTCCGGCTCGTCCCCCGCGGCCCGCAGCTCCAGGCACAGCTGCTTCCCGGGCTGGTGGCGCAGGCCCTGCCACACGTCGAAGACTTCCCAGCCGGCCCGCGGCGCCCCCTGCGGGTCCAGGGTCCGCGCGTCCAGCAGCCGGGGCGACAGGCAGGGGAAGAGCTGCACGCGCAGCGGCCCGGCGGGCGGCCCCCAGGGCTCCGCGGGCGCCTGGCGAAAGAGCCGCAGCTCCGCGCCCACCAGCTCTTCTTTGTCTGAGAGCGTGGACACATCAAACAAATACTTCTGTCTCCGGAGAGCGGTGTGCGGGAGATCGTCTGCGAGATAAAAAATAATTACCGTCAGTTTCACTTAAGGGGGAGATCAGCCCGGTGCTCGGCGGCTGCCCCCGGGAGGGAAGGGCGGGCAGCGGGGCCAGGCGCGGGCCTGACCACCCGGGCTGGGGCCGGGCGCACGGGGTGGGCCCCCTCCTCCCAGGCACCCCGGGAGGACGTCGGTGGCTGCTGGAGAGCGGCCGCGGCCTCTCGCGTTTCCCCCCAGGAGCTGGCAAGCAACCACGAATGCGCCCTTTGTGGTTGCGAACCTGGGGCGCACTTCCCCCCAGATCTCCTCTCCGCGGGCGCCGGGTCATCGCTCACATCTCCGTGTAAACGTCACCTCCTCCGAGAGGCCATCCCGGACCACCTGGATCTAAAGCGCCTTCCCTCCGTCTCCATCAGGGCAGGACGCTGTTATCTTCCTACACTTAGTACTATCTCGGATGACCTGGTTACTATTTCTCCTTAGTGGTCTTTTCCCCCAGCACCGCGCCTCCCGCTTCCACCAGCCCGTGGGAGCTGGGACCCTGCCCAGTCCATCTTGCTCATTACAGCACGTAGAGCCGTGCCTGACCTAGTGTACATGCAGGCCAAGGAGTGAGAAACTTCTAGAATAGCCATTCTCAAGCTAGCTGCCCGTTATGATCATCTATAGTCTAGAAGAACCTAAAAATTACCAGCTGCCTGGGTTTGCTTCAGACAACTGAATGGATGTCTGAGGACTGGGCCTCGGTCTTGGGTCTCGTTGGGGGATTTGTTGTTCGCTTTTTTAACAGCTCCAGTGTTATTTAAAGGTGCAGTCCTAGCTTAGACCCACTTGGTCTGGGGGTGGGGGAGTTGCTGCTCATCAGGCAGTTTTGCTGAAGCATTTGATCCACTACCAAGCACACAGAATAAAGAGTTAAGTGATTTCTGTCTTTCTCTCTTAAATTCACATTAAACACACACACACACACACACAAGAGCAATGAGGCTTTCTGAAGTCGTTTTTCATTTGCTGCCGGGTGAGGGGGTGGGAGGGGGCTAGCAAATGAAGAAACACAAGCACCAGGCATCTATCCATTCAGAAGATCCTAATGGACATTTCTGGAAGGAGAAAACCACAGCCACAAATACACACACACACACACACACACACACACTGACCTTCTCCCCTCCTCCACCCACACAACCTGAAATCTTCTTAATTTTCAAGTAACCCTGAAGATAAATCTTTTGGTTACAGGTGAGAAATAACAATTTAGGGTATGTGGCGTGGGGGGTGGGAAGGTAGGGGGGTGTGAGGGAATAACAGGCTTTTAAAATCCCAAGTGAATTCTTTGGGATGAAGACAAAACTGGACTTTTTTTTTTTTTTTTTTGACACATTTGTCTATAAAGCCAGCCCCACTTCAATGTGCAAGGCAGAAAGCTAACCAGATTTTTCTGGGCTGCCTTCTCATAAAATATTTACAACCCAGCAAATACAAAAATCCCCAAAGCCCCCAGCTTTCCCCAGAAGCCAGTAAAATGTGGGTCAATTTCAATAGTAAGTGTCACTGGGTCCCCGTTTGGACCCTCACTGCCAGTCCAGATGTGGCCCCAGGGCACCAGGTCTGGAGCCTCAGCCACACCCAGTCCTCACTGGGGCGACCAGAGGGCTGGCTGCCTCAATCTCATACACAAGTCCAGACCTGAGGGGAGTGGCGGGAAGGGTTAAGAGGTGAAAAGGGAAACGCTCCTGGAGGCAGCTGATTTATAGAAGCCAAGACCTTCAAAAATACCAGGGTCACATGAAAATCAGTGGGAATTCAGCACACTTTCTTCTCCTCTAAAGAAACCCGTGTCTGACGATGCTCAGCCACCACCCAGATCTCTGGACCTATGGCCTTAGGCTTCACTTTACTGCCTCTCATATTTCTCCCCAAACCAAGGATGTGGTGAGAGGAACAAACCTAAGACACTTCCTGCACCAGCTAAATGTTCTGAGGGCTGGCTGACACGTTTTTCACCCTTACTTTATCCACAAGCACAGAACAGTTCCCATTCTACAGATGGGAAACTCAAGGCTTGGAGACATTAAGTTCATTACCAAAGTCTGAGAACTAGTAGTCAGTGGTGAGGTTGAAATCCAACCCTAGGTCTATTTAATTCCAAAGTGGAAACATTTAGCCCAAACATGTCAAACTTGCAGCTGGGGGGGGGGGGGGGTGAATGCCTCGTTTATTTGGCCATTGTTAGCCTTTGAGTCTTGATTTAGCCCCTAAACCTCATTGCCCCGTTGCCTCCCATTATAGTCCAGGTACAAGGATCTCAAAGCAACCAGTAGTTGCCAGGGCATAAGGGATGTGATATAATCCAAACTGTATTTGCAGGGCTTGCTAGGATAAAAGTCATGTCCGCTGACATAATTCTTAGGAGAGTTTGTCAATGACCGGAGAATGGTAGGCAGGTATAAAGAATGATTTATTTCTCTCTAGTGCAATATGGAGAGATCAGCCTGCTTCTGTTTGCATTTTTTTTAAAGTGTGGACTGATCAATGGCTAGCCTGCATTTCTCTGGTCCTCGGGAGTGGTCAGAACAGGAGAAAGCATCTACAGAGAGAGATTCTGCAACCAGGGGCACGCAGTCTTTCCGGGGCATGGGAAAGCCTACCGATGAGGGCTCCCGCCTGCATCCTGCTCCTGCTCCTCCCATGCCAGCTCCATTCCATGGTCTGACGGACTTCCCCTGCATGTGGGCACCCGCACCCACAGGTGCAAGCTCCCAGGCTACAGGTGCACACATTGGAGCTGTGATACACTCTTATGAGGACAGGTCTGATGGAGAAGCTCTCCAGGCCCTGGAGGTGGGCTCACGCTATTTGGGCAAGAACTCTGTAGCTGGAGTATCGCTATAGAGTAGTAGCTCTCAACCCACTAAATTTATAAATAACAAACAAACAAACAAACAAATAAACCCTAACTCTGCTGGGAACCCTCCATCTGCATCCTTAGTATCACACAGGAAATTGCTAAAAATGTAAATTCTCTTGAGCAGAAGACGTTTGTGGTAGGCCCAGAATTTGCATTTCAGATGATGCTATTCTGCTGGTTGGGGAATCCACTTTAAGAACAACTAATCTTAAAAAAATAAAAATGAATCCAGATGAGTATGTTCCTTGGCTCTTCGGATTCCCCACCTTTTGGGGAGGGCACCATTGGAAATGGACAAAATAGGGCTCTTTAAAGCGCAGGCCCAGAGCAGGATCAAAGGGGGTACTCCAGAACCAAGTCATCGTCTTGCCCCAGCCCCTGCCTGTGCCCCCGACCCCCTGCCCCAGCCACCCTCACATTTTTTTTACTCTTTCATCCCCCACATTCTCTCACTGGGTCTCCAGAAGCTCTAAACCCTACACAGAGGGTCCAAGAAGGTGGCTGCTCTGTGCAGCTCCCCTGCAGACCGCATTCCCCGCCTGTCTGGACCTGCTCTGACCGGTGCATCACAGAAATAGCCCAGAGGAGGCATCTGACCTGGAGAGTGCACACACCGCCGTCCGCCTGTCCGGGGCTGTGACCCTGCAGACACTTTGCCTACTGACTGGGCATCACAAGGCCTGGTTCTGCTGCCATGGCCACCTGTGGGTGGGAAGCTGGCCCTTCACACTCCTTTTCACAAAGCCTCCTTTCCCATTAGGTTCTGTATAACTCAGGGCTGATGTTATCAAAGGACCCTCTCTCCCAGGTCCTTGACATTGGGAAACATTCGGCTTTTCCTTTCACAATCTGTTTGTGACACCTTCTTACATCCTGGAAGTGACTCATTTGCTTTAGGCCTTTAAATAAAATTGATCAGGAATGCATCATGGAATTCTTTTGTTTTTATTTTTGCTTTTCATTTGCATCCGCCTGGTTTGTTACAGCTTGACTCAGACCCCAGTTAACTCGGTGTTGATGAGTATTAGACATGTAGACCTTTTAAGTTACAATCGCTGGATTTGGGCTTATCAACTTTCCCTGGTGGGTGGTAGAGGAAAAAGAGGAAGGGGAGGGTATGGGAGGGTTTGGGGAGGGAGCAAACCACCTGCATATTTGGGGAAAATCCTTCATAAAGAGGTCAGCCTTTTTTGAGTTGAGAGCAAGTTGGTAAAAGGCACAGGACACCTCAAAACATGCACATCTGGTGTGGAATTGATAGAAAATAAAAAAGGAAAGCAAATAACTAAACAGGAAGCAAAGAGCTGGTCACTTGCAAGGTAGGGACTATTACTCCCACTTCAGATGGGGAAACTGGCTTAGAAAGGCAACGGCATCTGTGCAGGGTCACAGTATGGGGCTGAAGGAACTGAGAGAAGCAAAGAGAGACTAGATAGAAAAGGATGCCCAAGACGCCCAAAACCAGACTCCCTGGGAACCTGAGCCCCTGGAGGGTGGCCTCAGGGCCTAGGGATAAGCAGCAGCGTGGGAAACGCGCCTTGTCCACCCGGGTTCCTCCTGCTGCCAGAGGCTGCCCTGGACCACCCTGGAGGGTTTCCGAAAATCTGCCATTTCGTTTGGGCTCAGGCAGAAAGGGCCCACTGAATTTTTTCCAAGGTATCTCTGAGAAAAGCTTGAGATCCCTTGTAAGAGTCTAGTTGGATTTTGTCACTCACTGGCCCCAGGGTGCGCTGGCGGCTCCATCTCTCCCAAAACCCAGGGCCCTTCTGGCGCTGACTCTGCTTCCCCAACGCTCCTGCGCACGCACGTCTGGCTCTCCGTGAACTAGACCGGTCTGCCCCCACCCGCCTCCTCCAGCCATCCCGCCTGCCCCACATCCTCCCAAAGCACAGACCCCGCTTTCCCACCCCAGCTCCCCTAGGTGAAGGGGGCAGGAGGATAATCACCATCTTCAGGAAACTCCAGAAGTCTTTGAAGCTAAGCCCCTCCCTCACCCCTCTCTTGAGCCAGCAGGCAGCAATGAAGCTTATGGGGCCTTTGTCCCAGGCACGTGCTCAGGGCTTTGATGGCCTCTGTCCCTGAATCCTCCCCTCGAGTGTCCAAGGT